AATCACAAATTTCCTTTGAGAACGAACTTTCTTACAACTAACGAGAGCGGGATGATAGCAGGTTGAAAAGTTTACTCACGAAGTTACCACTTAAGGTTTTTAGTTGAGATAAAAAAAAGCTAATGGCACGAGAGGGATTCGAGCCCACGACCTTCGGCTAGATACTCCGCTGCTCTACCACCTGAGCTATCGTGACCTCGATCCACTCGGACATCAACTCCCCATCTCAACCCCACCTTATGAGTTTTCCCTCCTTTTGCCATTTTTCAAATGTCGTGTAATCGGTTTGGATTCTCGACGACAATTGAAATGGCGACGGAGAGCTTTAGTGAAGTGTAATTCATTTTTAAATCATTAATTCACTACTTTCGTGGTCGAGCACGATAGCTCAGGTGGTAGAACAGCGGCGTATCTAGCCGAAGGTCGTGGGTTCGAATCCCTCTCGTGCCATTAGCTTTTTTCATCTCAACTAAAAACCTTAATTAATTGTCATGTATTAATTGGTCAAGCGGACCACGAAAGTAGTGAATTACCACTTAAGATTCGTTTCGAAACAAAATATCATGTGAGCGTGGAAATATTCTAAAGAAAAATTATGAATTCGCACAGTTTTTGCCACAGGGTGAAAGATTAATAAGAGGATTAAAAAACGTGAAAGAATCTCTGTTCCGGTTAAAAAGGGATGATGAAATGCTCCTCGGAGGAAATGAATCCGTCGTTTCCCAGCCCTCTTCCCTTATACAAGAGCACACAGTTTTGCATCACCCTGTAGTTCATTACCATAATCCGATATCTAAGTTCAAAGGCACGTTGTTTACCCGGCCGGCGATTTTTCACTAAGTCGCGTCGGAGTTTTTAAACAAACCAGAAAATATTTGCCGTTTATTCTTCAACCGTTATAGAGACATATAAAAACCGCCGAAAAAACTGATACATCCAATTGAGATAATACGTAAAATGATGTATGCTATTCTTGGAATGGCTTTGTTTACCCTTTGTAATATGTCTACAGATTCCCGATTCATCCGGCGTTTCCAGTTCTTGGCATGGATCCTGGCGATTTGTAACCTAATAGAGTACCGTGTTGGCCTCCGGCCTAATATATTCGGGAAGCGGTCGTAAGCCTATGAAAAATAAAGCTCTTTACGGCAATGTACCATCGCGATAGTTCGGGTCGAAAGCTCTCGTTCTTTTACTGGTACATTTATTTTCGTCTTTCTTTTCAACGTCGTTTGCATTTTAAAAAATTACCAAGCATCAACATATTATCCAAAAAACTAGCTCCAGGTTCTGAAATTCTCCACTCTAACTCCCTAAAGAGGACATCTTCTTTCGTACATATCTATGCCATTCGGTTCTTTGTTCAATCTTTTTTGCTACAGTTTGGACATTTTACTCAACTGCCCAGCAGTGTCATCGCGATGAGGAATCTCTTCCTAGCGAGAGCAATAGTAATACTGTTGAAGTAGTACTACTTTGCTTTCCAATTGTTTCAAGCCTTTAAAAGAATTTCTGGTAAACCTACCGTCCAATGCTGGTGTTCATCAGGCCTCCACATAGCTGACATTCAATACACAAACGTGCGTATATACCTGGAAGGGCATCACGAAGTACGTACTTATACCTTTCCTCTCGTTACCTGCAGCAACACATGTCATTTTGGGAAAACCAACGGTTGACTTTACCATTCGAACAAGAAGTCAATTATACCGATTTGGCAGATGCAGTGAGACAGTCTTTGCTGCCACATCATACGAACTAGTGACCATTTGGTCTGTACAGTGACAAAAATGTTTGTTGTTACCGATCATCTTTGATCTACCTATCCTCGCTGGTTTGGCCTGTCAGAGCTTTCCGCCTGCAGCAGCCCATTTGCCTTAAACGACAAATAATAATGAAACGCTACACTTTCTTTACTACGTGTCAACCGATCCAACTTATCACTGCTTAACCAAAGGTTACCTTTCAACTTCATGCTAGAACCGTTATGAACACAAGGGCTAAAATTCTGGGATTTGGCCAAAGGCTCAAAACATCCTCCATGTTCGAAATGCCCAATAAAAATCCTCGACTCTCCGAGTTATATATCAAATGAAAATAACAAAAACAAAAATATCTAAACCTTCCTGACAGTAAAAATCTAAAATTGAAAAAACTCTAATTCTGTATAAACTCAAATATGTATATTTGACCGAAACTCGGAATGTTTTTAACACTTATAAGGCTTGTAGTAACTTTGATATTACCTACACCCTGAATCCTCATGGAATATGAACCACTTCCTTTTATGTCTGCATTTTGAGCAGTGAGGCAAAAGGATTGTTATTAATATTATTATTATTTTTTTACGAGGGTTCGCAGAGCAGAGGTCATATCAACCCTCGGGATGCCGGTGTTTTTTAAAAAAAGCACATTTGTAAGTATGTCAACTGTCTACTGCATTCGAACCCGACATACTTACAAGTGCTTTGTTACAAAAAATATTCGAATTTATAATAATCTATAGGGGCGTCGGTGGCCGCAACGGTNACCGGTTAAACCGTTGCGGCCACCGACGCCCCCGTAGATTATTATAAATTCGAATATTTTTTGTAAAAAGTTCGTTTATCTCTATCCATATAAAAGGATTTTTAATTCATCGGGATAGGTATGGAGATCCTTATGACAACAATTACTACCCTATCGCCAAACTTCTCCAACAAACTTTGCAGCACGCCACCAAGAGCGTATCTTGATGGTTATCATTCGAAATTGCATTGAAAACTAATATCTCATAGTGTCTATGAAATATATCCATATCTCAACATATTCGATATAGATCGTAATATTTATTGTCTTTTATCGCGCCCAAAAATGGGTCTTTCTTTCTCCAATTGCTTTTTCTTTCTGCAAATTTGCAATTTTTCTTTTTCGCGCTTGTTGGACGACTCTCTTAGACCATGATTGTTATCATTCAAAATTGCATTGAAAACTAACACCTCATAGTGACAATGAAAGCCATCCCCCTTAAAAAGTCATTAAGTTGTAGACTCGTATGGCAGAGTGTCAATTTGACTTGGCCACCGTGGTTACCCTTAAATTTCATTATCGGACAATATTCATACACACATTTAACGAACACACATTTAAACCTACAATGAAATTTCAATACTGTTTCCACTCAGAAACAACACGGATTTCGAGCCTAACGCTTTCCATAAAATTTTCCTCCGTAAATGCACAACAATGCCCTAAATAAACAGTTGCTGTCGGCAGTTACTTCTATTCTTAGTCGCTTAACCCAGAGAAGAGCTAGCTAAAAGGTTGATTAGAAAACTTAAGCGTTGCCCAGAGAGTGAGAGAGAGAGAGAGAGAGAGAGAGATGGAATAGATTTTCTACACCATTAAAATCGTATAGTTCTTTCTCTCTTTCACACTTCAGCCAAAACTTTTTTAATGCTATAAACAGATAAAAATAGAACAGCATAAAAATAATATATAAATATTTTCGTTTCGTATTATTTACCATATTTAATTTTAGGCATTCCTCTGAATAGAACAGTATGTTTTTATCAACGGTTTAATTCAGTGTTTAAATAATGTTATCTAATTTCTCCTGTTCCTGCTTTCCCATGTTGAATAACTTAAAAGGAAGAGCTTATGCAAAGAGCTTAAAGTCTGGCACACCTGAAAGGGTTCTATGTCATTAATTATTACGTACAATATAACAAATTCATGAATTTTAATGGCCGAAAGCCAAGAGGTACTCGGCTCCGAACAGAATGAAAACATCTTTCAGCGAAAGCGTTCTTGAGTCGGGATTTATGTTTTGGAAGTTGTTGACAGATTCGTTTCCAAATGAATGCGAGCTTGCGGGTAACCCTGGGGGAAATCACAGATGCAGCCGTAGCGATAGTTCACTTTCTATAAAGTAATAACTGCATTTCATCCCGTGGGGAGATGGCGACATATTACTCGCTGGAAAACAATTATTCCTCGCCCAGGCATGGCCATAATCGCGTTTGAGGAAAGCCAGCCCCAAAGAAACACATCCCACGGGATTAACTGTGGGATGGGGATCGTCAAAAAAACATAAAGAAGATTTACTATCATTTCCCTGATTATTCTTTTGAACATGCAAACTGGTTTCATTATACGTTTTACAATCCCCTACAAGCTCATCCCAATTTACGTTAAATAGATCATGTTGTACACGGAGGACGCAAAAATTCTTAAAATGGGAAAGCAAAATCAATTCACATTCTGGCAACCATTTTATTTTTTTTGCGAGGGTTCGCAACAGCAGAGCATATAAACCCTCAGGTTGCCGGTGTTTTTGGAAAAAAAAGCCTATTTGTAAGTACGGGTTCGAATGCAGGGCCGCTGGATTCGAACCCGGGACCTTTACCTTAAAGTGATGTGCGCCGTGTCAATGCCTAAACCTTTGCGGCCACCGACGCCCCCACTTTCATTTATTTAACTTCCTTAATTATTGCAGGTTCTTCAATTCAGTTTTGGAGTTTATTGTTGCTAAACGTAAATCATGTACATTATTTTAATATTGTATTTTGATTGTTAAAAATAAATTTCAATATTTTTATGACATTGGAATTTTATAGCAGTTCTGCCATACATTAAACAGAAGTGTTTTCCGATGTTCAACATTCTTCTTGTTGCGAAAACATTTCTTGAATCACTGATTAAGAGTTGGTTTTACTTGCCATTTATGATGCACAAACCTTGAAATATTTATTGTCTATATAGGTAGTTTGGTCAACATGTGCTCACTGAATATCATTGAAATGTACATTAGCGCAAAAACATTTCAAAACATCGAACTGAAAAAAATTCGGAAGTATAAGACTAAAATGTACAATGTATGACAAAAGAAAATAGAAAATGGTAAGAACTATTAAACATATGGTATCAATTTAAGTGTAAATATATCAGTTATAATTTCTTAAAGAGATAAAAAGAACTAACCAAAGGATCTAAATAGCATTGATAAAACGATGGTTCATTTAAGCAAATAAAGAAAAACCGAAAGAATAACAGAAATTTTTTCGAACGAGCTATTCGAGAAATGTCAAAATTTGTTAGGCTCAATTTTGGAAAAGTTGGTAGGAGCTCTTTTACTTTCTTCGACAACGGGTGTAATCTACAAACTTTCTTCGGAGTGGTAATTATCCGTTTAGTTTTGCGTCTTCGGACTATGTTCAATAGTTGGGTGGTAAACGCAAACTGTTTAAAATATTTAAAATTATTTATTTAAATTTTTCATATCGACCCAACTATTGTGTGTGGAATCGAACCCGAGCCATTTTACTAGGGCTTTTCCTTTATTTTTTATAATGAATTTTTCTACTTATGTGTGGTGATTAGTGACCGTTAATCGATATTTATTCAGAAATCGTGAGATGCGGTCTGGTGTGATGTTTTGCCGTGAGTGCCCACTCTCAACACGACACGCAAGAATGGCACAATTACACAGAAGACAAACACTTTGAGCCCTGAAGATGATCTCAATAAAGATCGAAACGTTGGCACGATAAAGAAAATGTTTTTTGAAACCTACATCACACCAGACCGTATCTCACGATTTCTATATAAATACTTTTCTACTAAGTAGCTGTCTGAACATTTTACTAGCTGCAATTCTTCTTGTTAAAACCCTCCTGCTATTTCCTGGCCGGTTTTATCCATCAAGATATACGTTATGATATACGTAACTTTTCATACTTTGAAGATCTCTCAGGACCAGCAGGGGGTGGAACCTTCACTAAATTCTACTTTGGATTTCGATAGCTTCATGTGATCCCCAATTTTGAATTTTATTAATTTTTTGTTTTTATTAATTTTATCAGTTAAAACGAAAATATTTAACTTCTGGTGACATCCAGATACTGCGATGTTTTTATTGTTTTATTAATTCAGCAGCAATTTCAACAATTGTAACCATTCGTATGTCCCTTGGAGGCGAAATCTTTTCCAATGTTTGTTTTTAGGGTTCTAATCGCTTGTTCTGCTATGGATACTTTAACATTACATTAGGTGGATTAATGATTTGTACGGAATTTTCAAAACAATTTTTTTTTTGTATAGATAACTAGATCGGTTTGCAAATTTCTTGGAACACGACCTTTGGATGATTATAAAAATTTTTTAAGGTGCCACTTATTTCTTTGCCCATATCCTGGTTTACTGGTACGATTTACCGGTACTGCTGCATACGCTCTTCACAGCTAACATGCCTATTCATTTGTATTTGCTGATGACATTTCCTCTCCAAAACATCTACATTGCCTTGAGCAATGGCTTCGAGCTTGGAGAATCAAGCCAATCAAGAAAAAAACACAAAACAGTTGGGGGCGGGGATGTTGAATCTGCTGTGGAAACTAAAAAGATTATTTTCATCTCCCTCAATCTTAAAATCGTACATATCATTTTCATTTAGCACAAAGTTCCTCTATCTCTGATATTTTTACTATCAATGCTGGCGGTCCTCAAGAAAGTTTTATTGACGCCAGTTCTCTACACCATTACACGACTATCTATCTAGAGAATCTAGGTCACTGGATATAAACAATTTTCACCTGGTCAACAGTTAAAGAAAACATTTCCAGATTTTCCAGTCTTCCCCAGCATTCACATTCACGACAAACCACGTTCGTTACTGAAGATTGTCAATATACTACAAAAAGCCACTTCTATGTCAGGTACCATATTCGGGCATAAATATTCCTTATGTTCTAGACCTTGCTAAATCCCAATAGCTAAAATTCCATTCATATTATTTCTCACTCCAATCCATTAATATATCATGTATCCAATAGCTGCTGGATAGCGACGGTGTCCCAGTGATGAGAGACAAAAATCACTATTCTAATGTCAAACTGTGGCAGTACTGGGCGACCGACATTCGCACTACTAACACGAAACCACATTCAGCAGATTTCCATATTATATAATGTTTTATGTATTTGGATATATAGTTACATATATCTGTTTATAGTTACAAACGACGATAAAAAAAGTAAAACGTCAGTATGCTGTGGGATTATTACATGATTAAGTTTTGATGTTTGTTGATCGACTAGCAGATAATCTATGTGGAGTTTCAATCTTCATGGAGGTCATTAGACAGGTGAAGAAAGAAGAAGACTAATTCTTGGGTTCACCAAGCTTTCGGCAACTTATAGTGCCATCATCAGGGCCTATTTATTAAAAATTAAAAAATATAAAAAATAATATACAATTAACAATTAACAAAATAAAATAATGTATACTTTCCCAAGTGTGAAGAAAACGATTAACATGGAAAAACTATTGTAAAAGCGTTTTGGGTTTGAGGATATGAAGCACATGGCCACGATACTACATTTAACATGGTGAAAATAGTCATCTACATAAAATTATAAATAATTATTAATATACACTATTCAAATTAACAAAAATAATAATTTATAATAAAATTTAACAGTACCTCGCTAATAAATAAAATCCATATGACTAAGGTTCAACAATGTTGTTCTGACTAGCAATTTCTTATAGGTAACATTTATGATCACAGATAATATTTTGACTAAAATTATGGGTAATTATGGGGTTTATAAATATAAAAACCATGTTCACAGGATAAACATTAATGAGAGAGGCGGTGTTGTCGCTCTCTCCATGAAGATTGAAACTCCACATTGGTTAAGATTTTTTATTTAAACAAAAGTACTGAACTTTTGAATGGTTAAAACGATTTAATCATACTATTACTTAGAAACCTCATGTGAACTCCTTTTTATTTACACCTTGAAGTTAGACTTTTCATTCGTTTTTAAAACCCTTACGTCTTCTGTTGCATATCTATCCAGGTTAACGGCTATCTCAATTATTAAAAAGAAATTGTCTTGGTTTGCTCACTGTCATGCGCTGTTCCGGAAATATGGAATAATGTTTTCTCCCGCTTTACACAATATTTTAGAGTGGGAATTTCACTTCTCATAAAGAAAGAAAATTTCCAAAATTCGTTGCCATTTGGCAATTCATTTATGTACACATTTATCGCTATGTAAGGTACTTAAACATCCTGTCGCCTTATTCGCTTTTTACAAAGATATTTTAAACGGCTACTACATAAATGATTTCCATTGGCGATTTAAAATGCGGTGCGAGCTATTACATCTGAATTCGGCTCAGTGGTTTAGGGGAGGTCCACGGATTTGCTCTCTCTGCTCTAGGTGCTATCGAAAATATTACTAATTTTTTAGCTGAATGTTGAATGCTGGGTGAAATCCGTCGACTACATTTGGGCTGTTTCTATTTGCGTAGAAACAACTTGATTAATTACTTGAATGGTGCAGAAAACCCAAAACTGATCCAGTATGCCCGGCACGGCTGGAATTACATACACGAATTAGTTCAGGGTTCAACTTTGATCTTAATTATTCAGAAATCGTGAGATGCGGTCTGGTGTGATGTAGGTTTCAGAAAAACGTTTTCTTTATCGTGCCAACGTTTCGATCTTTACTGAGATCATCTTAAGGGCCTGGGATTTACAAACAAAGAAGCCGACGGCTTATACAAAAATGTCTTTTCTATATCGACTTCCTTCACCACCACTTCAAAATCCAGCATATATAAACATAAAGCAACAAAATCCCACTGGCACTCTCAACACGACACGCAAGAATGGCACAATTACACAGAAAACAAACCTTTGAATGAGTAGAAATAGTTTGATTGAATATAAAAATTATATTTTGCATTGCATAAATTCACTTTTCCACATCCTAAATTTATTGGTTAAATGTAAACAATGTTTGTAAATCCCAGGCCCTGAAGATGATCTCAATAAAGAGCGAAACGTTGGCACGATAAAGAAAATGTTTTCCTGAAACCTACATCACACCAGACCGCATCTCACAATTTCTGAATAATTATCGATTAACGGTCACGAATCACCACACATTTTGATCTTAATGTTTTTGGTTTTCTGCATGGTTTCGGTTTTTTTTTTTTTAAGTAAGGATTAGTGGGCTATTATAAGTTGCTAATTTTTTCTGTTAGTTTCATTTATTCTAATGTAAATCAATTTCCTTTTTTTTTGCTTATTTTTATATTTATGGTTGAGTGTATATCTTCTTTTTTCTTATTTATTCAGAAATCGTGAGATGCAGTCTGGTGTGATGTAGGTTTCAGAAAAACATTGTCTTTATCGTGCCAACGTTTCGATCTTTATTGAAATCATCTTCAGGGCACAAAGTGTTTGTCTTCTGTGTAATTATGCCATTCTTGCGTGTCGTGTTGACTCTCACTTTGAGCCCTGAAGTTGATAAAGAAAATGTTTTTCTGAAACCTACATCACACCAGACCGCATCTCACGATTTCTGAATAATTATCGATTAACAGTCACTAACCACCATACACCTCTTTTTTCTATTTTTTCTTTAAATTTTTCTGTTCATTTTTTATTCCTTTATTCTTATTATGGTTTATTTTATCCTTTAGTGTAAGTTAATTTTGATATTCAGTTTATGCTTTCTTAATTTTAGTTCTTTTTTATTGTTAAAATTTTTAATAGCAACTTATGTTTATATTAATTCGCTTTTGTACATATATTCTTGTTTCTTTCTGCAACGGCTTCCGACAAACGGACATTGTACATGTGTATATACTTTAATACTTTTCCCTACTATTGTAAATATTATTACGGTAAACAAAAGTCTCTCTCTCTCCCTCTCTATCTATATATCCATTTATCTGTATCTCTCTATCTATCTATATATCCATCGATCTATCTATGTATGTACCCATCTATCTATGTAACTATTTAATCCCTCCCATTTATATATGTACATATGTAAAACATGTATTGGAAAACTAAATTGAGGCCTAAAAGAATGACAGTGCATTCTATGTTTCGATCACGAACATAGGTATAAAAGAATTAAAATTGGTAAATTGGAATTTCTTTAAAAATTTATGATCCGGCCAGTAAAGAAATTCTATGGAATTTAAAAAGATTTGTTTTAAAAAGATTTTGGTGACAGTTATGATCAGTATAAACCAGATTACTATAGTTAAATATAAAAATGTTCTAACATTACTATTAACATAAGTAACGTATTTCTTAAGGCAGAGTGTAATTTTGTGTTTTTTGTTTTTGTCAGAAAGATCATAGGAGGTTTTACAACATTGTTCTCTTTCATGGGTATGTCAAGGTAGCGCTATCATTTTAAATGTGTATGGCCTTTTCCGTCAGATGCGATTGAAATCGACAAGTTACTAGATATGGAAAAAGAAAAATTGTTGCTCAAGGTTTTTTTATTCCTTCGGAGAGGGCTTTTATTATATGGAGTTGTAACGTCATAAATCACGAGTCGGGAGTTTATCAGATTGCTTAATTCACAGTTGGAAAATAGCTCTTTTGATAATAATTGTTTCCATTTTTTTCGTAGCACGACTTCCTGGTCGAATAATAACAGGGCTCAATGAGGGATTCGGACAATGGAGAAATGGACCGTATTTCACGCGTTTCACAATATATTACACCTTTTCGTTCCCCGCCTACAATTTTCACGTCAGCCTGCCCGTGGGTAATCACAGCCGCGTATGATGGATATCGCGAGGTAATTGTCAATCTTGTAAATCACACGTTGGGCCTTTCGTTAGTCGAGGGCGTTTAAAATTTTACGAGATCTCGCTTGGAAAATTCAAACCAATATGTTCCAAGCGAAAAATACACCGAATAAAACAGAATGGAAGGATTCATAGAAAGATGTTTTTCCCAAAAAACAAAAGTGAAACTATGCGATTTTTAAATACAAAATAAAATTAGTAAGTAATTCCTATTTGATTATCAAAAANTCTCTCTCTCTCTCTCTCTCTCTCTCTCTCTCTCTCCTTTATTGTATATTTTAAATCTGCGAGTTATAATGCATTCTCTCTCTCCCACTCCCTCCCTCCCTCCCACTCGCTCTGTCTCTCTCTCCCTCCCACTCTCTCTCTCTCTCTCACTGCCTCCCTCCCTCTCTCTCAATCTCTCTCACTCCCTCCCTCACTCCATCTCTCTCACTCTCTCTCACTGCCTCCCTCCCTCACTTACTCGCTCACACTCTCTCTCTCTCTGTCTATCTCTATCTATCTCTATCTCTATCTCTATCTATCTATCTATTATTTTAAATCTGCGAGTTGTAATACAATCGCTCTCTCTCCCACTCCCTGTCTCACTCCCTCTCAATCTCTCGCTCTCTGTCTCTCCCTCTCTCTCTCTCGCTCGCTCCCTCCCTCCCTCTCACTCACTCCCTCCTCTCTCTCTGTCTTATCTTTTATTTTAAATCTGCGAGTTGTAACGCATTCTCGCTCTCTCTCTCTCGCTCGCTCCCTCCCTCCCTCTCTCTCTGTCTTATCTTTTATTTTAAATCTGCGAATTGTAACGCATTCTCTCTCTCACTTTCTCCCACTACCTCTCTCCCACTATCTCTCTCTCTTTCGTCTCGTTATCTCTTATCTTATTGTTTAAATCTGCGAGTTACAACGCATTCTCTCATTTTCTTTCTCTTTCTCTCTCTCTTTTCATATTTTTTTAATCTGCGAGTTATAACGCATTCTCTCTCTCTCTCACTCTCTCTCTCTCTCTCTCTCTCTCTCTCTCTCTCCTTTATTTTATATTTTAAATCTGCGAGTTATAATGCATTCTCTCTCTCCCACTCCCTCCCTCCCTCCTACTCTCTCTGTCTCTCTGTCTCTCTCTCTCTCTCTTACTCACCCATCCTACGTTAATGACTGACTGACTGTTTGACTGAGTCACCCACTGACTGATCAATTCACTAACTCACTTCCAAGCTCATAGCCTCACACGCTCTTTCATTCACTCTTTCGTAGGCCCACTCACTCATTCAATTATCCCTCACACTCTCATAGACTCGCTTAATTGTAGACTCTCTCTCAGTTATGCTCCTACTTACTCGCTTTCTCACTTATTCTGTAGCTCTTAACTCACATACTAACTAGCTCACTCAGTCATACTCATTTCACACACCCCACCCCTCATTTACTAACTAGCTCAGACACTCATAGGATCACTGATTCATAAGTTTACTCACTCTTTCCCTACACCCTTCACCGTTCATTTCCTAACACAATAAGTAGCTCAAACACTCATCTATTTATAATATATAAATCATTTTGTCTCTCCATCATTAACCGTTCATTCACTTACACATTCGCTCAGTTCCTCATTCATTCATAGATGGGTATACCAATAATTAAGGCAAGAAGGTTAGTCAGTCAAAAATCCTATCTTTGCCTTCGTGTTCTCATCCCCCGATTAACTTTTCCATCACCGCGGCGTAAGTTTAATTAAAATTTATCGTATCTGGTCCTCCTATTCTTCCCGTATCTCCAGAGTTAATTGATTCGCGGTTCACTCATTGTAATTTGACTATTTAACTTCTGGTAATGCACCTCAGCGGGATCTTTGTCCCGTCGGGTTAAAATAATTGAGACGTTCTACCCAATTTCATTACAGCGGGTTGCTACAAACGGTTTCAACATTAATTGCAAACCCTGGACAATGCCTTGTCGCAATTGGCGCTAAAAGCGTTTCAGGAGAGTTTAGATCTTCTTGATTGTCAATTAAACCAGTTGGCCATCCAATGATCGTACCCGTCAAATAAGTTGTCCAGTTGGGAAAAGTTCGAAGTTAGTTTAGTTTTTAAGGAGGGTTGGCGTGAAAGACCAATCAGAACAAGCTCAAACTGGATGACCTATCTTTCATTTTTAAATTTTTATTTTCTTTGACTCTTTTTGTATTGAAAGTAACGGCTCCAAAGACGAACTATCTCCCTACAGTAATTTTTCGACATCCAAGTTGTGTTCCAAAAGGAGAAGTATATATATTAATGTGTGGTGATTAGTGACCGTTAGTCGATAATTATTCAGAAATCGTGTGACACACCAGACCGCATCTCACGATTTCTGAATAATTATATGTATTAAATTTGTAAGCCTGTGATTCTTGAAGTTGGCCAACATGTTCTGCGAAAAATAGTTTAATAGTATATAAATCAAATCTTAGTATGTATTACTGCTTCCAAATTTCACGAATTTCCAGTATTAGAATAAAATAAGAAATAAGGGTAACAATGTAATAAGAAATAAGAGCATTCATTTATCCGATTTCCAAATTATAAAGTAAATTCTTCTTTCTCATCAAAATCATCGTCGTTAATTTCCTGTATATTTTAATGCTCCTTCTATGTTTATTCAGCTCGTTGTCAAATAGAACCTTTAGTGAAGTGTTACTTCATTTTAAACTTATTCAATTCACTAGTTTCGTGGTCCGCTTGACCAATTAATACATGACAATTAATTAAGGTTTTTAATTAAGATAAAAAAAGTCAATGGCACGAGCGGGATTCGAACCCACGATCTTCGCCTTGATATGCCGCTGCTCTACCACTTGAGCTATCGTGACCTCGTCCACTCGGACACCAACTTCCCATCTCAACCGCATCTTTTGAATTTTCCCTCCTTTTTGCCATTTTTCATTTTTGACATTTGAAAAACATTCATGTATTTGTAAAATTTAAATAATTGTTTATAAATCCCAGGCCCTGAAGATGATCTCAATAAAGATCGAAACGTTGGCACGATAAAGAAAATGTTTTTTCTAAAACCTACGTCACATCAGACCGCATCTCACGATCTCCAAGTAGTCATTAATAATTGTATATTACTGAATGACACTAGTAAACATAAATTGAAAAAATTTGTTTAAGATAATTGAAAATACTAGTCGAACACAGAGCACAGAAAAGGTTAACTGGTCAGCTGCTGGCTTGAGAATTCTTTAAAATAGAATATAAAAGATTGTTTAGTTTTAATTATAAACGAGCACATCAAATGTGACTCACGAATGAAACGAAGCAAAAATCGGTTTCCCGAGGATCATGAGACTTAAGCCCGTCTAAGTTATAATTTACAATGATTTTCTGGAAATTAAACACAGGGAACCTTTGATCGTGTAACAGACGAGTAAATTGCATGTGGACCGAAGCCCGGAGTAACAAGTTTCTGAGTACATCGAAGGGCCGAGTTGCCTACTTGTTTTGTTCGAAACTCATTATATCAGGATCTACCTCAGCGGGTATAAACTCTTCTCCGACAATTTCTTCCGCCCCCTTCGTTTCCCGTGGCTAATATTTGCTTTTGTAGGAATACATTACGAGCACGATACCGGAGGAAAACGGGCAAACTCTGTCTCGGACACGCGATGGACCGAGAGACACGAAAATGTTCTCGCAAACCGGGCCCGCCAACAATGGTAATAAACTTTCAAATTAACGCGATTTACACATTTTATGGCCGAATTCAATCAACTGGCAATAAATCCAGTGCCGTAAATCGAAACGCAGCATGGCCGAAGTGGCACGACAACTCTTCTCTTTCATCCACAGCGCAAAAATTTTAAAACGAATAACTTAACATTTCTCTGAATAATATATAAATTTCTTTTATACAGTCCACATAAATGCTGCTTTATTGCTATAGAAGTTAACCAAAGTATTTTTTTTAATATGTACTGATTATATTTAGTCTGGAACTACAGTGACTCACATATTTGTTCACATCAGTAAACAATTTTCTATTATCTCTAGTTTGCAAATCCCGAATTTTTAATCAAGACAACAGCAATAGGATTGAGTTCGTTGAACTGCTGGTAAACAAAAATTCACCCTAATAATTTTTATTTATGTCTATACCTTTGAATTAAGCCAGTTTATTACGAGTCTTCCTGTGAATCGTTTTGTGACTCGGGTTACTTCATTGCAAATTTCGCAAAAACCATTCAATAATACGTCTCAAATTTGTTATCAGGTATCATCAGTTTAGTTATTTTTCTTACATATTGAAAATATTTCCTTTGCTTAAACGTTATGATCTACTCTGTTTAATTATAGCATGAAGTCATTTTCAACATTTTTGAATGATCAAATAATAAAATCTCTACAAGAAGGACTTCCTTATCGTGAAATTAAAAAATAAAATAAATTGTTGTGATGATCGCCCAATCGGTGATCATACCCGTGTAAGACAGTTATGGCTTACCCGTAAGGTTTTCCCTCAAAATTAAGTTTGAAATGTGAAGGAAGGTTAATTAATTGAATAACGAATAAAATTAAAACAAAATTTATTAAGGACAAAGTCAGGAAAATCAAAAGGTACTCTTATGCCACACGGGGTAAAACGAAATTATTATATTTGCATATTTAATTTAAAAATCAAATGTACAATCGATAAAATAAAGATGTTAACAAAGGAGAAAAAATAAACAATAAATGTTCTAGTTACACATCATTTTCATTTTCAATTTCATCATCCTTTTCTTCTGTGTCATCTAATTTTTCATTTTGTTGATAAAGATGGGAATATGTTTCTAATTTGACTACCAATTGATCGATTGCTTCAATGAAAGTAGAAGAAGAAATGATATTTTTAAGCCTGATAACAAGCATGCGATGGCGATTCGTACTCAGTGCTGTATGAATGCTTTAGAAGATGTTTGCCATTGGCTAGAAACTGGCGGTGAAGTGGCTTTATTTGGTGCTACAAATTCTACTCGAGATAGAAGGAAAATGATCCATGATATTGTTCTGAAGAAAATGAATTTTAAATTATTTTTTGTTGAGTCTGTCTATGATGATGCTTAAATAGTGGAACAAAATATTATGGAGGTTAAAGTAAATTCGCCAGATTACAAAAACATGAATACAGATACGGCCTTAAATGATTTCCTGCTTAGAATTGAGCACTATAAGGAAAAATATGAACCTTTGGAAGAAAAGTTAGAAGATAGTCTTAGTTTTATGAAGATCTACAATACAGGAGAGAAAGTTCTTGTGCACAAACATGAAGGACATATAGAATCCAGGATAGTTTATTACCTCATGAATGTACACTTTGCTTAAGGTCTTCCATCAGTTCATGACCTGACCAGCAAGAATGAGCAACATGCAGAGGGAGAGGACCAACTATGTTAACAGTCCACATGTCATTGCCATGGTCGGACTCCCGGCTAGGGGTGATACAACGCGATGAGGCTTCGGACGACAAAACCATTCACGACAGATGTAATACCGAGCCCAAAAGAGACGATGAAGAGTCGGCTGCACTTCAAAAATTCAATAAATTACCACGATAGAAGAAGTGATAAACAAAATCCCGAAACTTGTTACAAACAACCCGTGGTCTATTTTATCATTCCTAGAGAAATTATATGATGTAAACATGACGACCCCAGAATGGTTCGACGAAATATTTAAAAGAATAGTCATTGCCCAGACAAACCCAATTTTAAGTGTAATTTTGAGTCGAAAAACAAAACAAATCATCACCTTTGAACCTGTTAACAATTATCTCATTAATCAACTAATAGATGTTCGTACCAAAACATTTTTAATCTATCGGATACCGTTGCGTCCACAAAATGTTGGCGACCTTTCAGACACTACGTAACCGAGTTAAAAAATTTCTCCTATATTTTCGGAAATAATTCCCCAAGTGAAGTACTACAAATAATTTTATCAGGAGTTAATATAGAGACCCGTGCACGATTTCAGTTCATGCGGAAATCAAACACATTGCACGAATTGGACGATTTAGTACTGGATGTTAAAAGGCTCGAAGTGTCAACAAAAACAAATGAAAACAACGTCAGGCAAATAACAGGTACGCGCAATTGGGGCAAAAAAGATATATATGAATATAAAAGTAAACAAAGGCCTTACTATCATTACCGTGATAACACTTTCTTCAAAAATCGACCTTATCATAACCAAAAATCACAATACACAACAATAACAAACCAAAAGTAAGCAATGACCGTGAACCGAGCGAACAAAAGCCAAAAGGTAAAATAAGGGACAATAACCCGAACTGGACGAAAATATTCAAAACACCCGACTTATCAAGAACAAGAAACCAACCGAGAGGCTTACACTCCATGAAACCTGTTCAAAATAATCAAAAACCAGATAAACCAACCAAAATGAACAGAACTATCTCTCAACCACATGAAGAATCCTGCGCAAACCTATCAACATCAAAAAACTAAGTAATTGGGTTTATGCCAGTATGGTGACAAATATTACAACCGGAAAAATTTATGGAAGCCATTTAAATATCTTCCTTTTTAAAAAGATAGTTCCTACTACAGTAAGTTGTTTTGCAACGATCCGGATTTCGGATAAATAATAAACAACCTAATAGAAATAGACGTATATAGAAAACNACTGGAGCTGCGATATCTTGTGTGGAAGAAAGATTTTTCAGGAACCTCCAAAATTATAATTCGATGCAATACGACAGTGATTGTAGGAAATTCAGACAAGGTGAACATAACTAATTCGGCATACATGAAAGTTAAAATCAACAAATTTTCCTGGTAACAAAAATTTGTAATAGTTCCGAATCTACCTTACCAGGTTATTATGGGACTGGATTTCATTGGCAGAACCCATATTTTTATAAACCCAGCTAAAAATATCATTAACTTTGAATTTAACCCAAATATTTCGATTCCGCTATTAAAACAATTTGAGAAAATTCCTCTCTCCATAGTAACGTGCGAAAACATTTCCAAAAAAATTCCATTTCTATATCCGGAAGTACTTACCGACAAATTAGGGTGCACACACTTGATCGCATACATTTCTCTCAAGCCGGGGGTTGTCTTGGATTCTAAGAAAACAAGGATCTACTATCGTTCAGGGCCCGAACGATGTGAGGCTCTAAAATCGAAGGTAGACTACTTAATTTCACTAATTTCATGGTCCGCTTGACCAATTAATATATTACAATTAACTAAGATTTTTAGTTAAGATAAAAAAGTCAATGGCACGAGGGGGATTCGAACCCACGATCTTCGGCTTGATACGCCGCTGCTCTACCACTTGAGCGATCGTGACCTCGATCCACTCGGACACCAACTTCCCATCTCAATCACAAAGGAGGGAAAAATCAAAAGGTGCGGTTGAGATGGGAAATTGGTGGATCGAGGTCGCGATAGCTCAAGTGGTAGAGCAGCGGCGTATCAAGCCGAAGATCGTGGGTTCGAATCCCGCTCGTGCCATTAATTTTTTCATCTCAACTAAAAAACTTAATTAATTGTAATAGACTACTTACTTGAAGAAGGTGTAATAGAACCAGTCGAGTCATCGTATGTATGCATCGCTTATTTCCTCGTCCAAAAGAAAAATAATGAAAATAAAAGGGACTACAGATTAGTAATCGATTATAGAGATTTAAACACAAAAATAATCTATATCACTCAACAAACCCCAACGATAGAAGAAGCTCTAATGCACTTACGATCTAGACGCATATTTTCAGTTTTCGATTTAAATTCTGCGTACCATCAAATACCTTTATCTTGTGAATCAAAAAAGCTTACTTCCTTCCAAGTACCATGGGGATGTTTCACATATAATAGAATACCTTTCGGACTAACATAGGGTCAGATTCTAACAAAACTAATGGAAAAAATATTCGGAGATTTGGTTTTTAAATTTGTTGTTTATTACTATGACGATATTGTAATTTATTCAGAAAATCAAGAACAACATGTCGAGCATCTAAAGGAAGTATTTGACCGCTTACGAAAGGCAAACTTAACGGTTAATACAAAAAAAAAAAATACAAATCGCCAGAAAACGTCTAACCTTCTTGGGTCATGAAATCGGAAACGGTCAAGTATCAATTAGCCAGGAGCGTATCCGCGCAGTTTTAGATTAACCACAACCGAGAAACCCCAAACAAGTGGCACAATTCATGGGCGCAATTAATTTCTTTGGTCGATTTATCCCGGATCTCGCCAAAATTGCCTATCCACTAAACGAACTACGAAAGCAAGATTCCCCAATGATATGGACACCGCATTCGATTTCTAAAATTAAGCGATGAAGTTAAGTAATGTTTTTCTAGATGTTATACCATCTAATGAGAGTGAAAGCGCTTCAAATTTTATACCTCATTCAAAATTGAAAGTATACTTAAGTATACAATAAGATTGTTTAGTTGAATATTTTTTTAAATAATAATAATGTCCATTAATGGTATAAAAGTAACCAGGATGATTGGGGATTGATCGAAAAAATTATATTGGCCTTTGTTACGTTCACACCCGAAATATGGTTATACTACGGTATTCATTGTTAATCACTTGTTCATTACAATATTTTGACAAGAATAATTTTCTGTTTGACGTTTTCCAAATTGTGTGTAATTGCTTTCCAAGTTGTCAGTGTTGACAGTGCCTTATGCACTGTGTTATTTTTCCGTGACGCCTGACGTTTCCCGGACGTTTTAACAGAAGTCAACGCCCAGTTTAATTAGACAATCTCATTACGCCGCCGTGTTTGTGCTTGTGTGAACAAATCGCAGCAGGAGTTTTCAATTTCGAAATCCTATCCAATGGATTTAATCCTGGCCGTGTTGTCGGCGATGTTTGCTCGCCTGTCCATTTGAAGAGTCAACAGGCGAAGCTTGTTTGACTAAGTGGGTCTCCCGGTAATGAATTGTCAACAGTTTTTAGAGTTACTTCATTAAGGCCTCTGCAGGAGGAAGATGT